TCTAACGAACCATAATTCCTATACGTAATGATTGCTTACAATATAAGACAGGCACTTCATTCAAACCTTCCTTCTCTGATCTTTCGGACGTTAAATTTCACTGTTTGAGTAGAGAGTACAGGGTCTGGAAGCGGTTTCGCGTGATCCGTGAACTGACCGTTAAACAGAGCGTGAATCGGGAAAACTCATGAAATACAGTTGTGATTCGTGAATTATATATTCACCGTGACGAGTGATCCTCTAATATTGTAGTCTGTGAGTCGAGATTTCTACCGATAAATTGAGATGTAAGTGTCGTGACGAGGGTTCGAAGTTAAAAAATTGTAAAGCTTCGATTTTATAGCAATAAATATCATTGCCAGTCAACTTTGTAGTGGTAAAACAAAAAACAGAGAATCGACAATTTGATCAACATACTTTTTGTTTCCTTCCCATCAAGAGGTCATTAAGACCAACTATGGTCTGTAATAGTCCAGAAACCAATAAGAATCGATGACAGATGGACTTGATCAGTTCGTCCCCTAATCACGTGATTCGTGAAAAGGTAACGTGACGCGTGAATGTACGGAAATTTAACTCGTGATTCGTGATCCAAACCCCCTCTTCGAGACCCTGATAGTACTGTGAGCCTGTAAAGATAAAAGGAATCCTTTTTTGGTTACTGCTTCTCTTCATAATTCTTTCTTTTTTTGAATGAACTTAGTTTCAGAGGCAGAAAAGTTTGCCTCGGCTAGTCAGTAAATGTTGTCATTTAGCCATGCATCACAGAATCACAGCGCTTCAAGGAGCTTGCTTCGCAAGTCGTACGAAGTAATCCCATCTACAAAGGCTGAAGCTCAAATAAAGTAAACTTTTGACTCACTTAACTGTTCAATTAACTGTTTTATATAAGAAAACAGGACTACAACGATTTTCTTAGTTTAGTTCAGTGTTGCCCTTATTTACATGAAGGGACTAAAGCTAAAGCTGTATCGATATCCAAACGTCATGCTTCTGCTCACACACTGGACATTTATCCCTAAAACAGGCTGAATCTTCACCATGGGTATACAAAAGCTTTAAGAAGAAAAGGTGCAGTCGTTATATTCCTTGTAAAAAGGAGCCAGACCGGTGAGTAATTAATGATAAAAAACCATACTTTGTACATTCCATAGTTGTTTACAAGAATTACACATGAGTCAGTTCGCTGCGGCAAAAATTTAAAAGCCTTGCTGCCAAAGAACAAGAAATGGACCAAGAAAGCAGACTTTCATGGGCTGCCTCATTTATGTATCAGTGGATTACTCTGAATTAGGAATAACTCTTAGGAATAGCCAAATTCAGAAAAACAATTGATATTATGCAATGATTGATATAAATGGTCTGCATGCCATAGTATTTTTTCCACCGGGATTAAAAAGCTACATACCAAATAAAAAGAACTATTAATTATACACGGTACGATGTGAAAGTAGTGCTGAAAAGGTTTGGTTTGAATAAGTTGAGACTCAAAAGTTAGAACCGTGTGCACTAAATAAATTATAGCGGGGCTCCCACGCGCGCTTCGCGCGCGTGGGACAGAGCCCCATACTCATGGAATAGGGTCAACCTCTTTTCGTTTGGTTGTCACGTGATTGACCGAGCGTACGTACGTTCGCGTCTACAGATTGTACGGGTGGGGTAGGGGATACTATCAAAAGGATAGGAGGGGTGTCTCAGGCGTGTCTTGGCAAGTCCACATCTTTAATATAGGATTTTAGGACATTCACAATATGGTCAATTGACAACTGTCAAAACAGGATAGCCACTGACCAGTATCCCAGGACCATATCGCGGGCTCATGTGTCAACTTATCGAGGTGACGAGATTTATTTGGAAGCTGTCCGCTGACCAGTTAATTGTTTTACTAGATCGCGAACAATGTTCAATCTCAAACTTTTACTAGTTAAACTGATAATGCACACATATTGGACATCAATGTTTTGATCAATTGACAGCTGTCAAAACAGGGTACCCGCTGACCAGTATCACTTGACCGTATCGCAGGCTCAGGTGACGACCCATCGAGGTCAAGTATTTTTTTGAAGTTAACCGCTGACAAGTTACTAGTTTTCAAGTGATCGCAGGCTCAAGTTCAAGTTTTTTCTAAATTCATATGAAATATGTTGTGTTATGTGCTACACAATTAAAATTTTGATTGCAAACTGACCTCGGACGCGAAAATTCAGCCAGCTGTTACAGGCAGGGAAGACAGTTGCTTTT